AGCCCTGCACCTTGTTGCCTTGCTTTTGGTTATGCCGATTGTGGGGCAAGCGGTGGCGAGGCAGGAACTCGAGTCCCCTGCTCCTGGGTTAATCTGTTGTGCTATTGCTGCAGGTCCGGAAGCGAGGCAAAGCGTGTCGGGCTGGACTGCGGGAAAATGATCTCCTGTTAACCATCAACGGGAAATCCTGCAACGGAATATCACACAGAGATGCCATGAATATGATTGACTCTTCCAACGGAACCTTGCACATCTGGGTTAAGAGGTACAGGATAAAAGGACCCGCAAGTATTGGACAAACTTGAGAGTTTAGAAAGTAATGTTAATCTAAGGAAGATCTTCAAAATGGTGAAGGATTTGGATGGGGGAGACAGAGATAAATCCCTTTATTTCGCGGGGCAATTTGGAAGAAGCTCGGGGTCTGGTCTTTGGCAGCACACTCTGTCCCTGCGGCTGGGGGTGAAGATCGGGCCCTCATTGTCCCCACCCCCAGCCAGAAACTCCCAGCAGCTTCCCCCCCCCCCCCCCCCAACTCCGGCAAAGAAAACCTCCATGGCGGCTGGGGAACTGGTTTGTTTTCCTACAGCATAATTTATTCATAAATTTTTTGAACAACAGCATTTCAACTTGAAAAGTGACGAGATTTACAAAAAATTCAACACATCCCCAAAGTTATAAGGGAACTGAAAACAAGAAAATGCTGAAAATCTGGATGAACTGTCATCTAGACTCAAAACGTTATCTCTCTCTCCGTGAATGCTGCCTGACCCGCTGTGATTTCCAGCATTTTTTGTTTTCGGTACAGATTCCAGTATCTGCAGTAAATTGCTCCTTGTCAGGCTGGACGATGGGATGGGGGAATGCGGATGTGAGATTACAATCAGGTGGGGATCTTGGTGAATGTAGGAGCACAGTCGAGAGGCCGAATGGTGTCGGCGTGCTCCTAAAATACGAACAGACAGTGCTGGAGAAACTCAACAGCATTTGTGGACAAGAGAGAAAGAGAGTCCGATGTAATACTCAGAGATAGTAGGAATTGCCGATGCTGGAGTCTGAGATAACAAGGTGTAGAGCTGGATGAACACAGCAGGCCAGGCAGCATCAGAGGAGCAGGAAAGCTGACGTTTCGGGTCTGGACCCTTCAGATTTTTTCTGAAGAAGGGTCCAGACCCGAAACGTCAGCTTTCCCGCTCCTCTAATGCTGCTTGGCCTGCTGTATTCATCCAGCTCTACACCTTGTATATCCGACGTAATACTCCTTCAGAATCCTCTGAGTTCTGCAAGTTCAAACTCAGGAACAAAAACAAAGTTGCTGGAAAAGCTCAGCAGGTCTGGCAGCATCTGTGAAGGAGAAAACAGAGTTAATGTTTCGGGTCCGGTGACCCTTCCTCAGAACTCAGCAAGTTCTGCTGAAGGGGCACTGGAAACATTCTCTCTCTCACTCTCTGTCCACAGATGCTGCCAGACCTGCTGAGTTTCTCCAACACTGTCTGGGCAAGTTGCAGATTTCTGCTTTTATTTTATTTTGCTGACAACATGTTCCACTCCAGCCGATTGTAAGACTTGGTGTTTACAACATACATTGTCATGCCGGGTATATACTGAGGGCCCAGGGAGTGAATGTGCCCCAAAGTGTGTTAGATTCCTGTGGGACCAGCTCCATATTAAGGTCATTGTTGCAGTTGCCGTGTCTCTGATGCCAGTAACTTGAATCCCTTTCTAGAGTTCCCAGCAACGGCTTGCAGCCGGAGTCCAGCCTCCAGGTCACCTCCCCCTGCCCCTGGAGCCAAGAATCTTCAAAAGCCGGTGTCCGAGCCCCGGAGCCCCGCACTCCGAGCCACAAACCCGAGAACCGGGGTCAGCGCCGGAGCTACACGTCGCCGGTGGAAAGCGAGGCTTATTACGGCGAGACCGACAGCGACGCGGATTACTCGGCGGGGGAGAAACAGCGGAGGCAGAGGCGGAAATGTCCCGGCGCCGCCCCCCGCTCCAATCACAGCAACCCGCTGGCCAGCTCGGCCGATGAGACCTCGGAGCTCAGCGAGTACGACAGCGCCCCCGAACCCCCCCCAGGAGCCAGCTCCGGACGCCTGGATCCCAGAGGTGGCCAGCTCCCCCCGCATCCTCAGGCCAGCTTCCCCCGCAGCAGCAGCAGCAGCAGGCAGGTCATGTTCCAGCCCAGGAGAATGGAAGCCAAGGTCAACATTTGGCAGCCCAAGCTGGAGGGGGCAGCACGCCCCGAGCCTGGCACTGTGACTGAGGCCAAGGTCAGTGCCAGGCAGAACCCTGGCACCAGCTGCCCCATCATCATCTGGCCGACCCAAGCCAGCACCGAGGACACCACCAACCGACAGGGGATCCTGGGCACTTCGGAGGCTGACAGTGGGTTCCAGGAGGTACCTGCCCACACTGTGTCCCCAGAACAGAAGCTGCTCCCCACTCCAAGCCAGCCCAGCCTGAGAGACACACAACTGGTCCCCATGGTGGGGCCTGTGAGCAATCCAGTGGCTGAAATTCTGACCACTACTTACAAAGAGAAGGCCAAACAAGCCAGTAAGTTTCAAACCCTCCAATTCAAGCTGAAATTTTTTTTTATTAAAGCTGAGTCTCTTGTTCTGCTCCTCTAACTTCCTTTGATGGGTTCTATGTGCTGCTATTTAGGGGACCATGAGATCATGGGGATTTAAAGGATGTGAGTTCACCTCTCAGAAAAGCCTGCTTACCAGCCATGATTTATGACATGGTAGTCTGAAGAATCTCATTGTCAGATCTGACAAGACTTTAAAGGCAGTTGTTTAAATGCAGCAACTGTGATGACTGCACAGGCAGTTGACTCGCTTGGGGCATGTTATCTTTTAAAGCTGTCAGAATAAAGCAAAGCTAATTACTAAACTTTGAGAAGGGGACATGTGCGAGCCACTGTTCAGATTTTGAAATAAACTAAGATAATGTGATGAAGTTTGCACAAGGCTTCCCAGTGAGATGTGCAGGAAACAAGCGGGAGAGTTGGAGAGGCAGGTTTGGTTTTGAGATGTACGGAGGGAGGTTGTGAGGTGGAGAGCTGTGGGGAAGGCATTTGTGGAGAGTACCACAAGTGAAGGCCCCTCGAATGTTTGAAGGGAATGTCAGAGTCAGCTGGACAAAGGGCACAAGTTGGGGACTAGGGCTGAAGAAAGTGGCAGCTTGAGTTAGACAAAGCTGTGTAGAGACAGGTAAAGCAGAGGTTTTGTTTAACCTTTGTGAACTGCTGACGGCAATATTCTATTTAAATGTTCAGTATTTAAAATTAAACGTGCCATAAATGCCATATTGGTTACCGTTATATTTTGCAGCCAGTGTTTCTATCTGTCCCAGCAGAGGTCAGTCTGCAGATGTGAATAGTTTTCAGCTTTGGACATTGTTGGCTATACTCTAGAAACAATGGTTTCTTGCTTGTCTCTGACTTGTTACAGATAGGAAGAGAATTTCAGTCATTGACCTCTTTGTCACGGACCTAGCCATATCTTGCCTGTTGTGTCAATCACCACACGGTTTATTTTTAAATAAGGTGTTTAAGTAAATCTTTTGAAGGCTGGGGTGAACAAACAGATGTCATAACCCATCACAATGCTGTTTGCTATGTAGATGGGTAAAAATAATCAAACTGACAGAAGTTGTTCTATCCATCTCATTGTCCGCTCAGTGAAGGGATGTAAAAGGCATTAGAGAGTGATTGAGAGTAGGAGAGTTTTGGTCACATTCCAGCTTTTGAGGCTCCAGTCTCTGTATGGAACTGAAAGACACTTCTTTACAGCCAAAGGATTTGCAGAATGCAGAGATTTCAAACACAGGAATCAGAAAGGAATGCCTACAAACATCTCAGTTATTCAGGTATTTGAATCAATGTACATATATATATATTAAAAATGGTTATTGTCCAATAGAAATTCTGTAATGATTCAATGTCCATTGAACTAGAGTTTATGCAACTGAAATTAATGCCACATCTCTCAATCCAGGATAAAATTCGAATTTCAGCACAATGTAATCTAGCTTAATGTTTCACATCAGAAATGTTAAACATTCAATTTATTGTTGCAGAAAATTGACTGCAGATGTAGAAACCTATGAGTTTTGTAAATTGTTTTGTAATCATTTAAAATCATAGGCAGGTTGTTTAAATATGGTTAAACAGGCTGCATGTATTTGCATTTCAGATCAATTATGTAGGAAACATATTAAAACACTGCATTAACACTACAAATATTCACTGTGTGGGGATAGTAATCCTTCATCCAATACAGCTAATATGGAAGTAGGTGCGCTTGTTACAAGGTAGTTAATTTTATCTGTAAAATGTAGAACAGGTTTTATATTGTAAATTCCTTTGGTGCAACTTGCTCAGCGAGAATACAAAAAAGCCATCTGGTTTTGTTTCAATTTTCCAGACATGTCCCAAATGCAGATTACAGGAGTTAACAATACTTGCAATGAGTGGGTCATCCAACCTATCGAGCAGTGGTGAAAGGCAGAAATTGCCTGCATTTTCTGTGGATAGTAAGATTATAATAACAACCCTAATGTTGTTAGAAATAAGTCTTTGATTCACTATAGTCAGGTCAAACTAAATCTTCTATGTCAGCATTTTATTTTGGTGGCGGAAGAGAACAGGTATCCATCAAAGATAAAATTTCAAATAGCCTCTGTCTAAACATTGCAACAGTGCTGGTGAATTAGAAAGAAAGTCTCTAGCATCAGTTTCTGGTTCACTTGTTGTTCCTTGTGGCTTTTTAATATCAACATTTTAGGAGGACCAAACTTGGGATTGCTAACAAATTGAAATAAGAAAATCATTCAATTGACAACAGAAGATTAATAGGATTAAGACTTCCTTTATTTTCCATGTCACTTCAGCAGACCTTATAAAAAATGTGAAGCTGCATGAACTGTACAGAAAGGTTTTGGTAACTTTGTACAGCGCCACATATCAATTATTAGTTAACACAAATATAATCCCCAGATACGGCAGCACCTAATTAAACAATACATTTTACAATTCACTGAGACTGCAATGTTCTCCTTTCTCATAGAAAAAAATCAGTGAAAAGATATGTGTTACACTTTAAAGCATCAATTTCAAAATTTCATCAGTGAAAAGCTGGGTTACTGATGAATGATTTTATTTTGATCAGTTGAGAAGATTAATTACCTTTTAAATTAAAAGCAACTAATATCTTCTTCATGTCTATTATAATTTTGTATGATTCAATTTAAATCTAGCATAGTTTGTGAAAATTTATATAAATATGCCGTCAGGTTGTCAGCTAGGAGTTCTGTGGCGAATAATTACCACCTGACTCCATAAAGCCTGTTCAGCATTTACAAGGCACAAATCAGGTGTGAGATAGAATATTCCCCATTTGCCTGGTTAAAGCAGCTCCAACAACATTCAAGAAGCTGACACCATTTACAACAAAGTAGCTTGCTTGATCCACACCCCATCCAACATGTTTAAAATTCACTCCATTCACCACCGCCACACAGTGGTAAACAGTCTGTACTATCTGCCAAGTGCACTGCAGTAACTCACCAAGGCTCCTTTGACAGCACCTTCCAAATCAGCAATCCCCCATCATTCAGAAGGACAAGGGCCGCAGATACACGGGAACACCATCACCAGCAAGTTCCCTTCCAGCTACACACAATCTTGAGTTGGAATCGTATTGCTGTTCTGTCACAATCTAGGCCATAACCCTAGAACTCCTTTCCCAATAGCATTGCAAAAGGACCTAGACCACTTGAATTGGCATCATTCAATAAGGTGCCTCACCAAGGGTAACTACGGATGGGCAACAAATGCTAGCCTTGCCAGCAACCTCTATATCTAAGAATGAATACAAAGAAAAACCAGTCAATTTCTCACTGCATTTCACCCAACACGTCACGATTAAACGAAGTTTTTGTGACAAGGATTAGAAATAATTGGTTCTAAAAGTAATTCATCGACATTTTAAGTCAAGTACTATTTATTTTAAAATTCACTATAAATTTCTTAAGCCATATTTCTGAGGCAAACTTGTCCTGAGGTAATTCCATCCTCCATTCAATTGTGCCTCAGAAGTACCTCTACTGAAAGAAATGTCAAATTGCAGCCAATGAAGTTTGCATGAGAAGGATTCATTTTAAATGGGGACATTGGAGTTATATATGCAGAAATTCACATGCAATCCATGCAGAAGAAAGATTTTGAATATAATGCATATGTTTACAGATGTTCTGATCCAGCAGCTTTCCGTCAGACTCCAGTTGCAACACTTCTAAGTGTCAGAGGGGCAACATAAAAGTAAAGGGCGTATTTCACAATGAATTCCTCAGACAGAAATAAACATGCAGTTTCAGTTGGCCAGTATGTCATCTGCAAGAAGTAAATGTGTTTCTTTACATCACTTTACCAATGCAGGACTCTTTTGAGAGTTAGGCTGGGAAAAACACTGGATTTGATCCTTTTGTTTGTTCATGTGATGTGGACATTGTTGGCTGGGCTAGCATTTATTGAACATCCCTAGTCACCCTGGAGAACGATGGTGAGCTGCCTTCTTGGATCACTGCTGTTCTTGGGGTGTAGCTGTCCTTTCCTCACCTTAGCTCCTAAATCTCATTAGAGAGATCACATCATCAAGTAACATCCTGGCTACTTTCCTTGCTTTGTAACTAGGAGAGATGAGGGTTATATCTCTGTTACTTTTTTGTGTAATTCACTCCAGTCACTTCAGCTAATGTAGTGGAAATACAACAGATCAAATGAGGGATTGGCTTGGTCTGTCTCACCTACGTCACACAATGTATTTCCTCAACAAGTATCAGTAGGGCTGTTCTCTTTGGGGAAGGGAGGGCTCAGAGCAAAATTGATCGAGGTGTTCAGAATCATGATGGGTCTGGACAAAGTTCACAGGGAAAACCTGTTCCTATTGGTGGAAGGGTCGTGAACCAACATGTCAAGATGGAAAAGTGAGTAAGATCTGGAACGTACTCCCTGAAAGCGTGTTGGAGACTGATTTGATGATGTCTTTCAAAGGGTTAACTGGATAATCAACAAAAGAAAGAGAATTGCAGAGCTATGGGGAAAAGGCAAGGGAATGGACATCTGAACCACTTTTATAGAGGGCCATCACAGATATAGCAGACTGAATGTGTTGCAACCATTCTATGATTCTGTTTCAAGACAAATGATGTCACTTAGTCATTCACAATGTGTAAAGGGGGCTATGCTTTCTCTTACAATCCTCAGATTACGGTCATTCAGTTTTTCCCAAATGACTGCATGGTGATTTGGAGAGAAGTCTAGAAATTGGCTCAGTCAATTGAGAGACATGCATATTTTGTACCAGAACTTTAAATAACTTTTCTTTTGTGCTGAATGCAGGATTAAGGTTCAGACTGATGGAGAATAAGATTCCTCCTTCGTGTGCAGTGCTGATTATTGAGCATTTCTGGCTTGGCTAAGATGAAAGTTGGTGTTAATGATAGACAACACCAGCTCCTGCAGTATGAAACCAGCTTCAGAAGAGTACTGTCATTAAATTTATCAAGTTTATAAAATCATGAGGCGCATAGATAAAGTGAACGGTGTCCTTTCCCTAGGGTAGGGGTTTCAAGACTAGGGGGCATATTTTTAGATTGAGAGGAGAAAGATTTAAAAATGACATGAGGGACAATTTTTTTTTACACAAAGAGTGGTGTGCGTGTGAAATGAACTTCCAGAGGAAGTGGTGGATGCGGGTACAATTGCAACATTTAAAAGACATTTAGATAAGTACATGAGTAAAAAAATGTTTGGTGAAGAAATGGGCCAGGAGCAAGCAGGTAGAACTAGTTTATTTTGAGATTATGATTGGCATTGACTGGTTGGACCAAAGAGTCTGTTTCCATGCTGTATGACTCTATGACTTTTTAAGTGTCAAATCTCTAGCCATCAGGACATCTCAAAACACTTTGCAGACATTTTTTGATGTATAGTCAGTGTTATACTGTAGGAAAACACTGTTAATTTGTGCACAGTAAGCTCCCACAAGGAATAATAATGACCAGATCTTCCATATTCATGATGTTGATTAATGCATAAATGCTCATCAGGACACTAGGGAGAACCATCGAGCTCTTCTTTGAATTAGTCTCATGTGATCATTTGTATCCATCTTAGAGAGCAGATAGCTCCTCAGTTTGACATTTCATCTGAAAGACAGAATATCTGACAGTGCAGTGCTTCCTCATTTCTCCACTGTAGTCTCAGCTTAGGAATTCTGTTCTCAAGTCTCAAATAGAACTTGAACCTAGAACCTTCAGACTCCGAGATCAGATTGTCAGCTCTGAATTCCATACCAGGAATAGCACTATGTGACAGTACTAAAAGAGTCTTGATTTTTTAATGAGCTTTGCACAGTTTCCCTCTTGTGTTAATTCTCCAAAGGCCAAAGCTTGTTTCAACCCTCTGTGTTCCTTTCATCACAATTTTGGAAAGAGCCTGTCTCCCACAAGTGGATGACAGCGTTAGTTTGCAGCTCCCTATTGCTTGAGTGTTTAAAATACATTTAATTCATTCACCCATTTCTGAGCAGATGAGTTCCATAGTGTTTCTGTCGTTCTCAAAATAACCTGTGAGCCACAAAACAATTTTTTTTCTGATTGCAAAACATTAACATTGTCTTTGGGATTTGCAGTTGTTTTGAACAATGCAGAATAAGGAAAATTCATGCTGGTAGTTAGGGATTTCTTTGTTTATCTTTCAGTCTACAACACCTAATTCTCTTGTGTTTAAAATAAGGCTGTACCTTCAGAAGGTGTGCCCATTCCTGTTTTATTTGAACAAGTAATAATTTGTGACAGTCTTTTCTGTTTGGACTTCACAGAGCTTCATCGCAGTGAGAGTATGCAGGAGAAGCAAGTGAAGGAAGCCAGGACAAAATGCAAGACCATCGCATCGCTCCTCACCTCCGCACCCAATCCCCACTCAAAGGGAGTGCTTATGTTTAAGAAACGCCGTCAAAGAGCAAAAAAATACACCCTGGTTAGTTATGGAAGTGTAGATGAGGAAAAGCAGAATATCGACGAGGATGGTGAATTGCTGCCGACTAGTGAGTCTGAGTTTGATGAAGAGGCATTTTCTGATGCAAAAAGCTTAACGAATCAGTCAACGGGATCAGATTGGGATGGTTCTTACCTGGACATGGAAAAGTCCAAATCTGAGTCCCAGGGTTTAATTGAAACCAAGGGGAAGGGTGTGATGCTATTTGAACACCAGAGACAACGAGCAGGGGAATATATAGTGGAGGAGTCTCCTATTCAGAGGCAACACAGTCTCCAAATGAAACCAAGGCCAGAGGCTGAAGTGAGGAACTACAATTTGATGAACGGAGAGAGTACCTGGCCCAGCAATTCAGATGTATGCCATGGAACACCTGCCTCTGATTCTTTAAAAAGCTATGCAGAAACAAACCTTTCTGCAGCAGTGCATGCACAGCCCACATTACAGGCGATGAGACCGAGTGAACAGCATCATACTCAGCACTTTATACCAGGTACCTCCTTTGTATCCAGTGTAACAAATAGGACTGCGAGGCCGTTCACGCCAGGGTTTCAGCAAAGCCGAGCAGCACCAACATATTCTGTCTCTGCCCCAGTTCTACTCAGGAAAAGTACAGCTCATGTGATGTCTTGGGATCAAGATACTGGGCAAAACAAACTTACAATGCCTTTCACACCACCATCAGAGGTAGTCCCTTCGCCAACTGTGAATCCTAAAAGCCAACCAGTGACAGCAAAGGAAACTGGAGCCCTGAAAAGAACGGGCCTTCTTTATTCACCAGGACCCATGATGATGACATCACCACCACCACCAGCAGTGACATCACCACCAGCAGCGGTGACGCCACCACCACCGGCTGTGATGTCACCACCACCGGCTGTGATGTCGCCACTACCTACTAAGATGTCACCACCGTCTATGACATCTCCACCTCCAGCCGTGATGTCACCACCCCCTGTGATGTCACCATCCCATACTGTGATGTCACCGCCCCTTGTGACATCACCACATCTTGCCGTGATGTCGCCACCCCTTATGGCATCACCGTCTCATGCTGTGGTGTCACCACCCCTCGTGACATCACCACCTCCTGCCGTAATGTCACCACTCATCATGATGTCACCACCTCCCACCATGGTGTCACCACCACCGACAGCAGTACCATCTTCACTGCCTGTAACAAATCCTTATTCACCACCCCAGGCTGCAGTCACCAGCACTGCCAAATTCCGTCTATCTTCAGCATTGTCCCCACAGAAACAGACTGAGCCCACTGCTGCTATTAATGCAAACCTCCAAGCTCCCTCCATTGGTAGCACCTCATCGACAGCGTGGTCAACCAATCCGCAATCAGAGAATCTGGCTACGAGAGAGCAAAGGATTGCAATCCCGGCCTCTAAAACAGGCATCTTGCAAGAAGCTCGCAGGAGAAGCACAAGGAAGCCAATGTTTACAAAGACCGAACAGGTAAAAGCTTCACCAAATCCTGAACTTCTTTCCTTGGTACAAAACCTGGATGAAAAGAAACCAGATCATTCAGGGGCTGGATTTGAGTCAGGCCCTGAAGAAGACTTCTTGAGTCTTGGTGCTGAAGCATCAAATTTTATGCAGTCCCAGGTGCATAGACAAAAGGTCCCCCCTCCTGTCGCACCAAAACCTTCCTTAAAATCCCAGTTAATAGACAATGGTTCTCCACTTGTGAATGGAAATACTAAGTCAGGTTCACTCCAATTGAAAGGAAAGGGGGCTGAACTCTTCGCTAAGAGACAAAGCCGTATGGATAAGTTTATTGTGGAATCGGTGCGTAATTATACTTCACAGGCAAGAGGACCATCTCCCACCCCTTCACTTCCCTCTACATGGAAATATTCTCCTAATATCCGAGCTCCACCTCCTATTGGTTACAACCCTATGCATTCCCCATCATATCCACCAGCAGCTAGCAGATCACATGGAGCAACATCAGCCAACAAGCCTGAGAGAAAGTGGAAACCAGCAGGGAACCAAAAGGTAGGAATACAAGCCATTGATTTCATGAGACATCAGCCATATCAATTAAACCCAGCCATGTTCAGCTTTGATGAATCCAACTTGGGGACACAGAGCTTACCAAGAAATACTCCATTGAGACAAACTGGTCAGCAATCCTTCATCTCGACAAAACATGTTCCTGTGAAGACAACGAGAGCCTGTGAGATTCGTCGTTTCTCAACACCGTTGCCTACTGTTACTCCCACTGTTATTGCCCCAAGATCAGCCACAACTCTTGCTGAGCCAGTGTGGATGTCCACCCCTCCTTCCCCACCACCAGCACCAGTCAAAATATCCAGCTTCAATATACCCGCTCCTCAAACCTCCAAACTAAACAGAAAGGCACCGGAAGGAAGCCAGGAAGTAAACTCTGAAACTTCAGTGCTTAATTTGTCACCTAATGAAGATGTTCAAATGCAAAAGAAAACAACACATCATGCCCCCAGGCCGAGGTTCTCAGCTGTAAGAGGAGGAATGAGTTCTCACACATGGAGACCTGGATCATTCTAATAATGAAATATGTTTACAGTCATCATGATTCTTAGTGACAGCTGAAAGACTCTCACGTCAAGAGGACTTGCATCTCAAAATGGAAGAAATCACTTGTATTTATGTAGCACTATTCATGACCCAGGCTGTTACAAAGTGCCTTTTCGCCAATGAAATTCTTTTCGAATTATAGTCACTGTTGCAGCAGAGGAGACACTGCAACCAATTTGCACACAGTTAACTCCCACAAACAGCAGTGAAATAAGTGCCAGATCATCTGTTTTCGATGTTGGTTGAGGGACACATCTTGGCCAGAACACCACCTCTGCTTCTCTGCTCTTTGAATAGTACCATGTGACATTTTACATCCTCTCGAGGGGATTTGTTTTATTGCCTCATCTGAAAGACAGTGCCTCTGCTCTGCTTGGATTCACTTCTCAACTCAAGACGCAAGTTTGTGTCAAAAATGCAACTCGCTGACCCCAAGGAAGTGCTACAGTACATTTGAGTACTTTAACTCATCAACATAAAGCCATGCAAAGAGTTTAATGATGTGCTGCTGAGTCAAGGAGAAAAATGGCTTGTAATTTGTTAATTGTTTTTGGATAACATGGAGCATCATGTTTTTAAAGAGTTTTTAAAGACATCAGAGTGAATTACTATTACACTGAGGTCCCCAGTGCTTTGTAATTATTTACTAGATCTTTCTATAGATTTCCGATCAATAAACCATGACCATCCAAAGTTGAACAGAAATGAATAACACAAGGCAGTGACGTCACCCTGAGTACAATAATTTATTCATGGAACACATCTCCCTGCTTTACCGTTGGCAAGTAGTCTACCTAACACCTCAGCGTTGCTATCTCTTCGAATGATCCTCTTTAAAAACATCTACCGTCCCTATTCTATCATGTGACATGATTGAATATGTTTTAAATGTTAAAACTGCCAAAGTAACGCAAAAGAACATGAAGACTCTTGGAGGAATCCTTGAATTTGAATTGTCTATGACAGTTGCCACAAGTATCAGCTCACATTCAAATGTTCCAATCTATCCGTCATAAACTATCACAGTAATAATTCTCATCATCTAGCAATAGCTTTGGATCATTCTTGTCATGCAGTGTGCTATAGTTGTGACAATGATTTGGTGAAAAAATATCAGATGAGAATTTCCTGGAGACTCCTGGGAATAAAATATTGATAGAAGTGTGTAACTGGAGATGCTGGGATGCTGGACAGATGTATCTATAAGGCACAAACCTACATTATTCCAAATACTAACTCAACTTATTGTCCATTTAGGCTCCTGTTTCCAAGGTTTAATATTTCACTTCAGCAGCCAAAGTAAGAAAAAATGACTGCATTGACAATGTCTTGCCATCTCCAAACATTCAGCATTGAACTTGTACTTATTAATTGTGCTTATAATGTTTAGTACCAACTGCTGCAATATTTTAACACTCGCACGGGATGCCCGATGCAGGCAACTTTTGATGCTGTTTAATTGGAGCAAAGACTCCCATTGGACTCTCAAGTCATCTGACCAGATATAACACCTAGCTGGTTGACAGTGCAGCACAACTCATCAATTCCACCATGTCAAGCAACAGGAGCCACTTCATCGTGTGAAACGTTTTGAGGCATTTCAGTGGGGTAAATGCTAGATTCATACAAGTGCGTTATTTATTAAAACCAAATGATTTGTCCTGAATTATCTTCAGGAGCGGCTTTAGCTTTGTTAAATATTGAAAATGAACTGCAGAGCTCATTAGAAGAAAATGAACTCGCTCTTGAAAGAAACTGCTTTCTGAGATGTTCAGAATAAGACTGGAGTGCGAATATGGAATATTCTTGAATGACTGACAAAAATGGATGATTGTGTACCTTCTATATTCCTTGCATTAACCATTGAGATGAACAAGAAATATGTGGATAGAATGGGAGGCAATCAGTGACAATGGATAGAAATGGTAGGGGATTGACAGGAAATGTCGGAAAGATTGGGTCAGATGAGATGTTGTTTCTGTATGTGGTGAAGGAAGCAGAGTAAATGGAGCCTGAGAAGATCTCAATGATCTGTGCTGGTTTGAGCTATAAAGTCTAATATTGCAAGGGTAATTAGTTTGCAATATTTTCTTCACAATATGATTACGACTTACTGACCAATCACTGAGCTCCTGAGGAATTGTGAATGTTCAGTCGTGAAAATCTTGACTTTTACTTGACATTTCAACACAGCACCCAAGTGCCTTAATAAATAATGTTGCCAAAGTATTTGTTCATCTGCTTTAGAAAAATATTTAGGTTTTGGAATGGAAAGTTTCAAAATGGCTTGTAATATTGATCCAAACTAAAGAGTTGATTTTGATTTTGCTGTGTGAGGCTGCTGCCGTTCGTAAACCTTAAATTTCACATATTTTCACCTTTTCATAACTGCAATCCTGCATTTAGCTTTGAAGAAACAGCACTCAGGAGATTGGAATTAACCATTTTAAAACAAAACTATGCTGCTTGCTCACTTTGCACATTTGACTGTGCGTCAACCTCTCAACAATAAACAGTGATAATTTTACTAAACTATGAAGTAGTTCTAATTCAATCGATGACTCTACAAGATGCAGTAAATCTGAAATAAAAGCAGAAAATGCTGTAAATACTTTACAGGTCAGGCAGAATCTGTGGAGAGACATTAGGACTCCTGTAGCAACTCCCCAAAGCCTGTCCACTTTCTACAAGTCAGTGGAGAATACTCCCACTTTCCTGGATAACAGCAGCTGTGATAACACTAGAGAAGCTCGACACCATACATTGCAAAGCAATCTGCTTGGTTGCCACCACATCTATAAACATTCATTCCCCCTGCCACTGACCTTCAGTGGCAGCAGCGTGTACCATCTACAAGATGCACTGCAGAATTTCATCAAGGCTCCTTCAACAACATCTTCCAAACTCATGACCACTATAATTGAAAAGGACAAAGGCAGTAGATAAATTTGGTGGCTCAGTGGTTAGCAATGCTGTCTCACCCGCACCAGGGACCTGGGTTTGATTCCAGCTTCAGACGACTGTGTAGAATTTGCGCATTCTCCCTGTGTCTGCATGGGCTTCCTCCGAAAGTCCAAAGAATGTGCAGGTTAGGTGGATTGGCCGTGCTAAATTGCTCATAGCATGGGAAATGCAGGGTCACAGGGATAGATTAGAGTAGGGTCTGGGTGGAAGCTCTTCAGAAGATCAGTGTGGACTTGATGGGCTGAATGACCTGCTTCCACATTGTAGGGCTTCTATGAAATTGGAACACTATCACCTGCATGTTCGCTTCCAGGGCACTCACTGTCCTGACTTCCAAATAAGCTGTTCCTTCAGTGTTGATAGTTCAAAATCCAGGAACTGACTCCATAACAGTACTGTGGGTTTACCTACAGCACATAGATTGCAGCACTTCAAACGCAACTAGAGGTGGGCAATAAGTGCTGGCTTGGCCAGCAAAGCCCATGTCCCAGCAGTAAATAAAAACAAATATTTCAGGTCTGTGACTGTGTTTTTGGAATAGACTTTGAGATGAAGGCCCATTGATGTGAATCTGTAATTTGGTTTCTTGCTCCACAGATGCTGACTTTTCTGTTTTTAAAAATAGTTAGTATTTATCAAGCAAAGACCTCTTTGCAGCCAGTGAGGCTGTGTTCGACTGTGTCCTTAGAGTTACAGATTGTCAATGAAAGGAATAACATGGATATCACTTCTCATACATTTTACGACAAGTCAGACTGGTGTGGTTGCAGTAAAGAAAGCAATGCAGCTTTGCTGTTTACCCATAGGGGATAGATCTGCTTTGATTGTCATAGAGGTGACATTACCTTTTTTGAAAACTATATACATGTATTAGATTTTTAATGTTTAAAATGTTATGTATGTTAAAGTGCTATGTATGCTGATGTAAAATAATAAAATATGATTAATTGATACAATTTGTGAGCTGCTTAGAGAGCAAAATATGATGAGCAGATATACAGAGGGACACAACCATGTCTCTGGAACAGACTGAGAGATGGGAGTCAACATGAATCACATGACATCTGTTGAAGATGCAGGATTAATGCCTGCTGAAGGGTATTACCTTATTCAAAGACTAATTCACAATGAATTTCTACATTGCACAGTGTAGTGTCTCACTCATGGCGTTGGGAGTCTGGGAATTTCAGCTTAAAGCCCTGCTGTCAATGTTTCAGGGAGAAAATCCATTCGATTCTTAAATTTTTAAATGCTTGTTTCCTTCTCTTCGAGCAGTTTTAGTTATTCCCATGAAATATGGTAAAGGAAAGACCGTCAAGGTACTTTGGAATTGTGAGGTCATGTGATGAAAATTCCAGGAGATGGCAATCCTGTCCAACAGCCTCCTTTAAAGTAATGTTATTTTAATAATTCCTGGGATGTGGGCACTTCTGGAGGGCCACAATTTGTTGTCCATTCCTATACACCTTGAGAAGATGGTAGTGAGCCTTCACAATCCACTTTAACACGTTTCATCCAGATTGGTGGTTTGTTTATTCATTGAAGTGGGCAGTTAAAAGTCAATAATGTTCTTGGGGGATTGGAGTTACATGTAGGCTATTGTTTGTTTTAAAAACCTACCTGATGGCCCCTTTTACTGAGACCATTGCAAATTACCTGAACTGTTTTCACACTGAATTCAAACTCTCACGTTGTCCTGGTAAATTTGAAGTTTGAGTTGTTTGGAATGTAAGTCCAGCAGACATTGTTACCACTCCACATTACAGTGCCATCAATCAGGTGAGAGTGCAAGGGAGCCCCCTGACAGACATAGTAGATGGAATCTGGATGTAGCTCACTGCTTTTAATGACTTGTTCTGTTTTTATTAGTTAGTGTTGCTGGTTATCTGGTTACTGGGAGCCCTGTTCATAGTTCTCTGAACAGCAGCCTGGCAGAAGAGAAAACTACTGGAGGGAGAATTGACATGGAACACTCCCACCATCTCCAAGCAACTGGTACCATTCCTTTTGGC